TCAAAGAGATCTTCATCCCAACTGTCAGATGTTATCAATAAGAGTTGTCTCAATATAAAATTTCAGCCTGAAACCTGAATGAAACTGGCCTAAATAACCCATTTCCTCCAGGGTTCTCCTTAGCTGAAGACTGACCAACTTCCCAATAATCTTTCTCTTTCTCAAAAAGCCAATCCTCCAGTGGTAATTGTACAAAAGTACTGGGTCCAAGGGCAGCATCTTGAGAAGGCTGTGAACCATTACCACTTTCAAGGCAAGAGGTACCATCCCCTCCTTTAGAGAGGCTGATACACCACAGTCTGGACCCAACTGTGAGTCCCCTCCCTGGCCACTTTTGCAAACCAAAACAGGCCCAAATTCAGTAAAGAAGTGGCTGGGTTGACCACAAAGAAAAATCTCTCCACTGCCTCAGGAATCACTGGCTTAAACTCATCACACCATCAAACTATGCCCAGGTACCTCAGTCTGTCCTGCTAATGAACATACAAATCAAAATAAATCTGAAGGACATTATCTGTCAAACAGCCTAAATAATCTCCAGAATGACACAGTAGGCATTAAGTTAACCTAAACAGAATTTCTGGATGGCTATCAGTGGACACAATAAGGGCAGAAAAATATTGACATTTGGCTGCCATTATGGCCACAAGGTAATCCCTAATATGGCCTTTTATCAGTGTCCAGTCATACTTACTTCTAGTCTTCCTCCAATGGTGCTCCAGGCATCTTTTCCAGTGCTTCATTTCCTAGAGCCCCTTGATAAACCAAGGTGCATCCAAGGACTGATGAACAGGGAAAGGCTACAGAAGAAATGTATGATCCACAGTCCTAGCTACCCACCCATTCCTGGCAGCAACTAAGGCTTCAACCAAATCAGGGAAAATGACAACCTTATTCTGGAATCCTATTGGGTCAAGAAATCTCTTGGGGTGGACTGATCAAATGGGCCCTGTCTTCCTGAAGGAAGGGGTGAAGGATGCTGAAAAGCAGCCAGAAGGTTATCTGTTTATGACAAAAGACTAATGCTAATATCCTACACTGCCAGATCACTGTCCCAAGACAAAAGCTATCTCAAGACAAAAACCAGATATAATTGTATGGCCTCCCATGTGGGTCTGGCTACGAATGATGTAGGACTGTTCCATAGTTGCCTAGACTGCATAAACTTCTGAGCTTGCCCCAGATGGCAAGTTCAAGCACCAATAACCTGTAGGACTATGGCCTACCCATGAACAAAATCCAACAGCTCAGGCCAAGATGCTGCTAGGGGCAGCATGAAGGGTGATAGGCCACGAGAATCCCAACTTCAACCAGAATGCCTCCCATCAGTTTATCTGTGGAGGAGAGCCTCCGAAAGCCTCTGAAACTCACAGATAACAACATTCACTCCCTCTTATCCTGCTCTTCCTGCCAGTATCGAGTTCTAAACCTAGGAGGGCCCAATCAGATATCAGTAAAATATGACAAATTGGCACTCTCCTCCAAAATAAAATCATGGATAAGGGCAGCTTTCTTATACACTGAACTGGCATTCAAAAGCAACAGGTGAAGTCCAAGGTCGTTGAAGATCTAGCTGCCAGGGGCAGACACCGAGGGTAGAAACTGAGTGCCAGATGGCAGGACTGCTTTTAAATAGCAATTTGATATGCCTGCACGTGGCCCATCCTTGAATTGCTGTCATATCCTTCTCTGCCCATCAACCATCAAGTTGGCCTTGCTTGCTCCACTCAGGTCCTCCCTTCCCATCCTACTCTGCTATGCTTTATTCCAGGTCCAGACACAAATCTCTAACGTCGCCACCACCATCACAAGAAGACAATTCTTCTATAACTCACAAAGACCCATCAGTCATCTCTAACCATGCCTGCCTCAAGGTACTCAGTGGTCTGGGGGATCAAAGTCCCAGCAGGACTAGGGGGGAGGGTCAGGAGAGGGACACCAAACACACAAACAGAGAATGTAAGAAGGCAAAGCAGAAGCCAGTCATTATACACTAACTGGCCTCTCCAGGAACAAGGCTTCAGCAGAAGTTTTTTCCTTTAATTGGCTTACTGCCTGATATGGGAAGGAGTTCAAACCCCACCATCTCCAGCCAGCTGACTGGAACTGATGGGAATTGGCATTTGAGCCTTCTAAAGTATAGTGCCAAAAAGTTCACACATTTGGAGAAAGTGTAATTCTTCCAAGAGCTATTGATATCCATATAAATATTGGTAGTAGTCATAATTGGAATAGTACTATTAGCCATATATGTATTCATTTGAGGGGATGCAAGCAGCATAAAGTTTGAAAACTTGTGCATTAATCCATAAACTATGGTTTAGAAATCACAGTGCTTGAGTTCACATAACATACCAAACATACCAAATCTAACCAAATTATGGTTTGTATGTGTTTCGTGATGTGGGCAAGAGATTTCAAAAGATACAAAAGAAGAAAATTGGTCTGATCATTTCATGGAGGATAGAAAATGAAAAAAAGCTGACCATTAATATGAGCAGAAAGTAATAATGGATGGACTGGTCAAAATGGGATGGAAGAGGGCATGGCATCTGGAAACTAAAACATATGAAGAAAGGTTACAGGAACTGGGCATGGCTGGCCTAGTGAAGAAAAGGACCGGGGGAGACATGATAGCAGTGTTCCAATATTTGAGGGGCTGCCACAAAGCTATTTTCCAAAGCACCTGAAGGCCAGACAAGAAATAATGGATGGAAACTGACCAAGAAGAGATTCAACCTAGAAATAAGGAGAAACTTTCTGACAGTGAGAACAATCAACCAATGGGACAGCCTGCCTTCGAAAGTTGTGGGGGCTTCATCACTTGAGACTTTCAAGAAGAGATTGGACTGTCATTTGTCAGAAATGGTGTAGGGTCTCCTGCTTGAGCGGAGGGAGGGGGTCGTGTTGGACTAGATGACCTATAAGGTCCCTTCCAACTCTGTTAATCTGTTATCTGCATTGTAATTCAGTTTGTCCTCTAAGTGCATGAGCACTCGTGTCTCTAGAGGGATGAAAGAGTTGCCCTGTTAGAGGCAAGGCTGAACAGTTTGAATGGTAAAATAGTTGAACTAAGTCTTATACACATTTGGTATTTTGCATGAAAAAGTTGAGAAACTATGGTGCTAAAATTTGGCACTTTCTGTGCCAAATTTCATTTGTGTGATTTTGAAGAATGTCTAGAAGCTACAAAATTGGGGCTGGTGCACTAGTTGTGGGTTTCTATTTTTTTTACTACTGGTTCACTCACGTGCATGCGCTACACTTCTGCACATACACAGAAGCTTCCAGGTGGGTGGGTGGAGCCTCCCGCCACCGCTACTACTGGTTCTCCCGATCCAGGCCAAACCGGGAACAACCCACCTCTGTGGTGGACCATGTATAACCTATGATACAGAGCTATGAAATGAGAGAAACAATGTGAAGAAATAGATCAGGATGTGTAATATGTAAATCCAGTGAAAACAAGCTGGGCTTCGATGTTCATCCCAGTAGAAACAACCCTCGAAAGTAACTTTCATGTAAAACCAAATGACAAATCTGAATGTTTTCAATTAGATGTACAATTTGTATTGATGTACATAGTCTACCAAAATTAACTTCAAAATTATTTTATAGATCATATTTTACTTCATGTTATTTTCAGCAGACAAGCTAAGCATTTTCTCTCACATGATAATCAGCAGAAAATTCACATACACCAGAAAACTAAACAGGAAGTTTGCTATTTGAAATATTTCCCTTTCAGACAGGATGAAGCAGGGAGGAGGAAGAGGAAAAATGTGAAACCTATTATGGCAGGCACTCTACAAAACCAGCCAGATAACTTGATTACTTCTTAATTATGCAGCTAATAAGTCCTGAAGATGTTGTAGTTGGAAGATAATGTAGTTGATGTTTATATAATCCTGAAATTATCTTTGTTCCAAGAAACAGACAACTTTATCCATATGCAAAACCATATTCTATCTATTATATTGATTCTAGAAAAACAAACTGTCCAGGGAGTACATAAAATCAATGTTTTTAAAATTATCTTTTTTTAACACTTACTCAGACTTGTTCACAAAGTAAATCAAATAAGTGAACTGACTTATATATGATTAAATTGCAAGTGTAAAATACAATGTCTAAATTCACACATTAATCCAAAACTTTAAAACATAAATTTTGGATTACTGTGATGTGTGCGCATCTAAACCTCAGAGTAAACCTATTAAAATGGTATTTTTAAGTATCATTAAACAATAATCACATAGACTTAAGTACAAAGGGCCATCTTAAGTGGCATTAACTTAAATGGGTTCAGTAAATTAAGTGCATTTCCCTGCCATGTTATTTTTCCTCAATAATCAGTCACCAACCATTACCAAAAGATTTGAGTAGGAGGATTTCAAAGGGGAATAAGAGAAGAAAGGGAAAATGCTACAGTACATGTGGCTTTAATATTGCATAGATGCTGTGTAGATCAACCACCTCCTTTGTACTTTTACTCTTTCTCTGGTTATCCCCTACCAGAGCACAGGACAATATAGAGACTTTAAAATTGAAACTTCGATAGTTAACACCTCTGAAAACTCAGCAAACGTGATTTTCTTTTTCACCGCCTTAAGGCTCCGAAGTTATCTGCTAGGAAATGGCCTTTTGTAGGAAGCCCAGATTTCAGCTTGTTTGCTCCAAGCGTTACTTTTTTTTCTTCCTGTTTACACATCAAGTCAGACTGTCCACGGCCACCAGAAATCCAAGATGCGCTTTTAAGATATGCGCTCCTTTCCAAACGCTGCTGGCCTCGACGTCTCAAAGGGATGGCAAAGCGGCATCTTTTCATTTCACATTAGTAGACTCTGCAGATTTATTACCTTCGCATTATCCCGCTCTCGGCTGACAAGCTTGGCAAAGGGGAGAAGGGGGAGGGGGGCATACATACTTGCTATGCACAATTCTTTGTGCATAGCAAGCTAGGAAAAGGCCGGGGGGGAGGGGAGAGAGATGTAACTCACCGACACCAAAAACTCCAAGGTGTTCACATAGTCGCGCTCCGTCTTCAGCAACTCGTTCAAAACGCACACCCGCAGGCGTAGCTGCTTCTCCGGATCCTTCCCGCTCTCGCCTTTCCCATCCCCTTTACTTTCCTCTGTCATTATTTCTTTCTTCCCCAAAAACAAGCGCCGCTAGAACTTTTCTCCCTTCTCCTTAAGGCGGCCGGCAGGAGTCGGGAAAAGGCCCCCACTATCCGCCCTCCCGGACGAAGTTCAGAAAATAAAACAGTCCAAGCGCCCGCGCGCTTCCTTTAAGGAAAGGGCATCTCAGGGACTAAGACAGGCTCCCCGGCTCTGCAGCAACTTTCCTCTTCCCGCCCACCAGTAAGAGCTCTTTTTCCAGTAAGGAAGAAGGACTCTGCCTGTAGGAAATGAGCGGCCTCCTCCGTGGAGCAAAGAAGCTTGCAGGATCGCAGCAGGATCAGCCCTTGGACATTAATCAAACGCGTTGCATCCATGTGACTCCGAGCCCTTCCGTCGCTCGCGCCAAATCTCAGGAAAAAGAAAAGGAAGCCCAACCTTGGGAATGGTTGCGTGCCAACAGTGGCTTGTTTGACACACAAGCCTGTGTGCGCTGGAGTTTGTTTTGCGCTAATTGGTGATCTCTCGGCTGAAGAGCTGCAACTTTAAAGTGCTCTAAACAAGATGAGTTTAAATTCTGAATTCTGACTCTGAATGTATTCTTCTTGGTGTATTAAGTGACTTGTAGGTCGTACCTCCTACCCACATATTCTTACTTGTCTCAAGTATTATGTAAAAACCATGCAATGGCACATAGAAAGGGGGGATTTGTCACAAAGCCAATACAGCAATTATTTTGCATAATAACGTAAAGTAGTGTATCATACACCTATAGCACCAAAGTTATTCAACAATTTATACTACTGAATGTATTTACAGCAAAAGCCATACTCCCAACCTTTCCAAAAAAAAAGTCAAGAAAGAGGTATTTATAATGGCGGTAACTCTGTTGTAGGAATGTCCCATCAAACAATCTACAAAAAATGAAAGTTAAATCCATCCTGCAAGCTTCTAACATTCCAGATCTCTATACCTTTGAGTTAATATCTGCACAGACACAAAGAAAATGCACCAAAATATACAAAGGTTTTCTCCTTGTCATTTATATGCCCCATTGGTGTAAAGAATTATTTGTTTTATGATGCACTTCTACCTTGTCTTTCACCCACAAAACATTTCCTGGAAGCTTGGAAAGACCAAATGATTTCTCAGAGAGCAATAGCCTCCATTTCAGTGAATGTATTCATGCAAAGGTTAGATAACCCTACATTGTGAAACTAACCAGGTTTTACTTCAGAATAGTTCTGCAGAATTATCATCATCATCAAATTCTAAGCTAGGCCTAAATAACTATCAGCACTAATCTTGATCTTAAATGAGAAAGCAACACTAGAAAATACTATCCGTGGTCAAGGCTGTATTCCTGTATCAAAAATGCTGTTAACAATTTCTTTAACATTGAATTGATGCAGAAAGTAAATTCAGTACTGCAGCCTAGGGAAATAAAAATGGTGGCATGATTTTCCTCTTACATTTAGTAGATATGAGAACTTATTTCTGCTTTCAGCACAGCAGATGCTGCTAAAACCATTTAGGTACTGAATTATAATTCCCACCATCCCTGACCACTACTTATGTTTGCTGGAGTTGTATGTTGTGGTATTCAACAACTTCAGAATGTCTATAATTCTCCAAATCCTGATTTATGTAGAGATCTAATGGATGTCTTGTGATAAATAAAAGGAACGAAAAGAGGTTTTACTTGCTTCTAAAGTTGTTTAATACTGGCAGAGTAAAATAAAAGAATGTATCACTGCAAAGTAATAGCTGTGGCATCATAATCGAAGATTCAGTCTTCTGGGGATTTTGTCACCAATCAAATACAGCGTTGAAAATCATTAGTGCTTATTAATATTATAGGATAAATGTTTGTGGTACGCTGAGTATGCAACCAGAATATCAGATTCATGTTTTCATTGAGACACTTACAATGAAGTGCATTCCAATGTGCTTTTCCTCTCTCACATGTACTTGGTGAGCCAAAACACTAATGCCTCTCTCAATAGCAAATAAACGAGGGTTCATTCAAAGACAGCTTGTGAGCCACCAGAGAAAAGGCAAAGAACAAGAACAGTCAATCCTCTGTTTTCTTAATTTTAATGTGTATAGTTTAGGAAAAACCACACCACAAATTGTGTCAGGAGACAGGACATAGAAAAGCAATTATTTCCTGTGAAAAGAAAGTTATATAAGATACAAAGATGATGTGCATATGTATACACATGTGTAGGAAAAAAATTGCATTCAGCAATACTTATCCAAGTTCCTTTAATCATGCTTGTATTTTTTTAAAAAACCCTCAATTCTTTAGACAGTAAAACTGGGCTCCCAAACCTTTTGGATCCAGTGAGTACCTTTGGAATTTTGAGAGCACATTATGGGTACTAACAAAATAGTTACCATGGTGAGTGTGGGTGACCACAGAACACCCTCATACCAGAAGACAAAGCATTTGGTTGCAGCTACTCATCATTTTTTTTCATAAGAATACCTACAAAATCTATGTGGGATCCAGAAGCAGTGCTGGATATAACAGTTATGCTAGAGGACAGTATTGAACTGCAAGCTATTCTTTTTCATTTTTTTCAATTAAGAGGTTTTTTTAAAAAAATCAAATTAAGTAGGGCAGGGAGCTTTAGAAGTGCCAAATAACTTACCAATAAACCTTCTGTCCACTTGTAGTTCCTATCTGGAAATACAAAGTATAGACTGAATACATTATAAACTTTTTTTTCTCGTTCATATAACTTTGGCCTTTCAGTATTTCACCCAAATTAATAATTATCACATATATGTTAAGACCAGATGCTAACATTTCCTTTGTTGCAAAGATCTTTGCTTAACTGTATTTAAAAGTGGTTTATAATTTCAGTCTGAATTAATTGGTACATAGGGACCGATCCTACAGTAAAAAAAAGCTATAGTAATTTATCAGCGACTTTTTCCAGCCAAACTGCTGTAAACAAAAAAAGAATGCAACTCTCTGGCTAAAAAGCTCCCTCGCTGTTGTTTTAAACCATTATAATTTACCCGAAGTAAATTATAATGACAAACTGATTGTCTTAAAGCAGGAACTGAGCACAAGTGATTCCTTCCATACATCTGAGCTAAAGGGAAGTCAGAAAAGCTCATGCAAACTTGAGACTTGCAAGAATGTAGTATTTGACATCTAAAAGGTCTGAAATCTTAAAATTTATTGTAACTGATTTCATAGTATGCCCAGCTTGTTCGGTCCTTTCAAGCAGTCAGCTTGGTACTGTACAGTACCTGATATTTTATTAATGCCAACTTCTGATTTAATTTCTTTGGTTTGCTATGATTAGTTTAAGTCTACCTAGAGCTTATTAGAGTTATATAATGCTTGTAATATTCACTTTATCACTCCCATGTAAGCCTATAATGTCCATATGAGTCTTCCTTAATGAACTGGTCAGCTGTCTCAATTGCTGAGATTAAAAACCTGATACTTGACTGAAAGCTGGAAAAGTTTAGTAAAACTAAAAAGATCATGTTACAGCCAATAACGCTGTATGCCAAGACCATTTCTAGGGGCTGTAAAAGTCCTGCCAGCTTCCCACATTACAGCTTGGCCTGGCAGCATCCCTGGCATTACACTAAGTAGCCTTTAAGGTCTGCTACTATCCTAGACCACTAAAAGTCTCTTAGTCTTTTGTGTAAGGTCTTGAAAGATTCCTCATGCTCAGCCACCTTAATGTCAAGGTAAAGTTGCAGCAGTTCTTCCCTTAAAGACACAGGCATGAGGATCCTGCCCTTATGCCATGGATTTTCCTCTTCCACCAAAAATAGATAGTATACCTTGTTGGATCCCCTTGAGATCATCCATCCATGTCTGCTCTGCCCATACAAGTCTTGCTGGTACTCTTCCAAACAGATGTCTATGAGCATGCAACATTGGGAGGCCTCCTCTAGATTCTGTGGAACTCTCTTTCTCAACAGTTCATTTTGAATATCATTGTGCAAACCATGACTCAATTGGTCAACCAAGACTTGGTTATTTCACTGTAGAGAATATGACTTTATGCTGAGGATTTTAAAGTGCTGTTTAAAATCTGCAATATAGAATCATATTCTCTGGTTATCCTGTCAAATCTCAATTTTTTCAGATCTGGTTTCCAAAGGACACTCTGAATCTCTTCATGAAGGTCTGATTATTTGTCCATGATCAGGTCACAATCCTTTATTATTGGCAGTGTCCACTTGGCCACAGACTCCTTTAATAAACTCAATATAAAGGATACACTTGTGCAGTCTGTTAGAAATGCCATAGCTCAGATTTCCATAAACAACTCAGAAAGAACAACAAAGGTTCTCTTCTGGTCTGCTACTCCTCCAAACTTTTTTGGCAAGCCACCATGGGAATGCAACAAGACTGGTTGTGCTACTGGCAACAGCGGAACAGACAGCGGCTGGGCATTATGACTTGTTCCTGAACCAATTGAAGGCCTGTCAATCCTAAATTCCTCACTTCTGTTTCCATCTCCTCTCAATGTAGGAGCAAGGCTTACACCATTTCCTGGGGTGACATAGCAGCTGCCTGTGAGTCTGTTGGCCTTTCCATGGTTTTTTTCCTTCCCAGAATCAATGAGTCCAGTGAGATTTATGTCAGGCAGAAGGAACCAGAACAACTTCATGAATAGGCCAAAGCAGTTTTGTTATTGTTGATCACTTATATTATTATCCCACCAGAAGGCTGTATTCTTTTAGAAACCAGTAAATCATGCTTCACTACTTTGGTCTATGACATTTCCTCCCTCAGAATGACTCCAAGCTGGCATGCTTCTTTATTCCCCTTCTCATTTAGCTTGTATTCCACCACATTGCTATTGGTATAAGGCTTGAGCAACAGGCTAGAAACCAGGAGATGAGTTCTAGTCTTGCCTTAGGCACAAAGGAGCTGGAAGTCAGTCACTCTCTCTTAACCCTAGCAAGTAGGCAATGCCAAATCACTTCTGAAATTTTGCCAAGAACTTGCAGCAACTTGTCCTGCAAAACTGACCCAAAGGCGCTAAAAAAAAGATGAAGGAGGAGAATGCCAAAATTGAATGCTGTCACCTATGTATTAAGTTGCCTACAGAATATATCTTGAAAAATGTTGGAGTAGAAAAAATCAGAAATGGGAATTCAAATAGCTGGGAGAAGCACCAACAACGTCAGATATGCTCATAATGCCACTTTGATGGCAAGAAGCAATAAAGTCTTTAAAAATCCAATGATAAAGATGAACAACAACACTGCAAAAGCCAGAATTCTGTGCAATTTAAAAAAAATCTTAATATTACTGTATGTCAACAGATGATGCCAACCAATGCAAATGCATGGAGGAGAAGCCGAAGTACAAACACTAAG